CCAGTATTGCGTCAGATTATATCTAGTTAAACACATTTATATCCAGTGTGTTAGAGAATTGAATGTGATTCTCTAAAATCATCAGTATTCCGTGTGATAGTTATTTATGGATAACATAACTCCCAAATAACTCTAAGTCGAGAGTTTTTAGTTACAATTGTTATCAAGTAATAATTTTACCGTCACACGTAAATGCCATGGAGAAACTTAAAATCTTCTCCATTTCTTGTTTACTACCATAAGACGAGAAAGTAATAATATTTAAATCCCCAGAATTACAACCCAGTCTTTATTAAAGTCTTTCAGCCACAATTATGCGAAATAATATTATTCGTGATAAATAATTTCTGTGGCGAATGCAGGGACGCAGTTGGGGGAGAAGCCATTGTGTATCGAGACGCCATTGTGTGTGTGGCGTGGAGGACTCGTGATGCGGAATTGAGCAACAAGGTCGTGGCGTCAGAGTCTGAGACACGTGACGTTGAGATTATCAGCAAGAATTACACTGGTTCTCAACACAGAATGAGTTATTATTATTCTACGTGATCTGCAGTGATCGGCCAACTAATAACGCGTCGATATTCAAGCCAAGCTATCAACCACGTGTACTACATTGTGGAAGTTTGAGCTTAAGACGCGATACCGGCAAGCTTCAACATAATTTGTACCCTTAGATAAGTATATAGTTCTTTTTTGATGCATCATTAGAGATTGTATATGTTGGGGCGGCTTGTCGTTATATCGAGCGACCACAACAAATCCAACGTTAGTACCTCACCAAAATTTAATTTACATTTCATGAATATAGAGATTTAAGTAGCCTAGTTCAATGCTACGTAATATCCCTTAAATTACAGCTCGCATGTGAGGAGTCAACGAGCTGTTACCTAGCTTTGTGTTATTCACCTCTAAGTGTTTATACGAGGAATTCCTCAGATCATGAGGACGAGGCATGAATGATGTCATAGAAATCGTCTTAAAGCTAAGACTTTTTTGTACTCATTTATTTACTCTAAAATTGATTATTTATACATCATTCTATCTAAGCGGATGCTCGTCATGTGCACTGGAGATAATCTGTGTTTATTTGGATGATTATTTGCTAAGGTTAATAATCTTTATAATTTCTGGTGATAATCTTCTATAGATTCTTTAATATTGGTCATAAGATTAGTTATTAAACAATGAACTGGTGTACGAACCACACTAGTTCCTAGACGTATATGAAGTTCTAGCAATACCCCCCCCCAATGTAGGTGTTTGAGGCTTGATTTAAGTTAATTAACTATACAGCCCATTAATTATTTAAGTGATTATGCTTCGTAATATTTAGCCATATACACTGGTTCTTCCTTGTGTTTCTAATGATCACTTTTTATTAGTTTCCCTCTTTTCCCTCCCCATCTCCCTTTTTCGGTTTCCATTCTCGCACCCTTTCCCTGATTCCCTCTCTTCGTCTCCTTCATTCCTCTGCATCTCTCTCCCTCTCCTCCTTGTCTCCCTCCCAATCACTCTCCTCCTTGTCCCCCTCCCTCTCTACTAGTCGGCCGCTCCCTCTCCGCCTCGCTCTTCGTTCGTGCCCTCTCACCCTCTCCTTGCCTCCCTCTCTCTCATTCTCCCTATCTTCCTCTCTCTCTACCCCTCTGCCTCCCCCCCCCCCCCGTCGTCGTCTCCCTCCAAACCCCACCCCCCCCTCTCTCTACTTTTTAACTTAGTCTAAGATTCATAAGGGATTTCTAGTGACGTACCTAGTGAAACTGCAAGCAAGAGCTGTTATCCTACCTCAGCTCATCTAAAGCCAATACCTAGAAACTACTTTATTTCATGAGAATATACTCTCGAAATGGAATGGGCTTCCATCGCTGATGGAAGCCCATTCTTGAGAATGGTACTTCCAGCATGAGACTGTTGAGGGTTGAGAGCCTAGTGCTAAGGGTGGGAACTACAGGTACTCCACGGAGTTGGGCCAAATGCGGAACTTTAGGGATGTTGGCCTTGTACATAAAAGTAAGACCAACAACGTCATGACGGTGTTGCAGGGTCTGATGTTCAGACCGTTCCTACCAGACTTGGTCAAGACTAGAGATATGCCTTCTTGCCCATCTCTCTACTTTGTCCAACAGTCTGACGAAGATGGGGGCAGGCGATCCAGGAAAGGGGTGCATACTCTATCTTGAGGTTATCTTGAGATGATTCGGGGCTTTTTTAGTGTCCCCGCGGCCCGGTCCTCGACCAGGCCTCAACCCCCAGGAAGCAGCCCGTGACAGCTGACTAACACCCAGGTACCTATTTTACTGCTAGGTAACAGGGGCATAGGGTGAAAGAAACTCTGCCCATTGTTTCTCGCCGGCGCCTGGGATCGAACCCAGGACCACAGGATCACAAGTCCAGCGTGCTGTCCGCTCGGCCGACCGGCTCCCTGCTCGGGCGACCTTGCTCTAGATGAGAGTGAACTTGTGCTTCATATAAGGTTTTGAATCCCTTGCTGTCAAGAAGATATGAGATGCGGCATAGAGTTGTAAGTTTCCTGGCTGCCTTTTTAGCTAGGTTAAGCACATGGCTCTTCAATGTCATTGAAGAGTCGAACTTCATTCCCAAGATGTCAGATTCATCTGTGATACCTAAGGTTTTGCCACCCATTTACAGGTCCGTCCGGTTCGCCATGTACAGTCTAGTTATCATCATCGCTTGTGTTTTCTCAGTCATAAATGTGACCTGCCATCTAATACCCCAAGTAGAAATCGCTGAAAGTTGGTGATTGATGATTCTTGCAGCAGTTGGTATTTCATCCTTTCTGTATGAAAATGTTGGAGTGCAGTCATCTGCATAGGCATGAGCTTCAGGAATGAAATGAAGTAGATCGTTGAAATAAACATTCCACAGAAGAGAGCCAAGGCCAATAACCTATCAAACGCTGGCACCAATTGAGTGGCTATCGGATTCTGCTCCATTGAAGACAACCCCCGAGTCCGGTCTTGAAGGTAGCGTAACAAACCTATTGCATTGTGCGCACGGCGTTTTGGGCCCTTGAGCGTCAACACCGATAAGTGTATAATCTTTTCACTCTCCTGACATTAATTCTCAAGGTACGTATTTCATTTTGATAGCAATGTATTTGCAATAAAATTCTCTAGAACATCATATGTATAACGTGTCACCAAAGCATGAGCTATCTCACCAAGAAATAAAGAACTACGTAGATCACTCGCCGTCAGCACCAAACAGCAACAAAATGTTTCTACTCTTTTGCTGGTTGTCAACTCCACGCTTGTCCTACAGCGTTAAATTTGATATCACTGACTCGCAATAAACTTCCCTACGCAGACATATGTCTATAAATGTAGAATCATTGTCGCAATCCACCCGCAAGAGTGTCGGAAGTGGCTAAAGCATTAGCTGGTATCTCAGAGGCGACGACACATGTGTGATACAGCGCTTTGAAAGTTTATACTCTTCTCACTGTCCTGCCATTAATTCTCGAGCTACGTATTTCATTGTTGTAGCAATGTGTTCGCAATAGAATGGTCTATAAGAACATAGGTAAACAATGTCAACAGAGCGTAAGTTAAATTGGCGCCAAATAAAAAACTACGCTGGTCCATATCCGTGAGCGTCAAACACCAACAAAATGTTTTTACTGTATTTATGTTTTTCAAGTCTGTACTTGTTGCACACTGTTTTTTTTTTTTTGGTTGTATAGTGACCGAAAAATAATTCCCTACACAGACATATGCATATAAAATGCATTCTTGGGAAGCCCTACCTGTACCAACGCCCAAATTCACCCAACTGTAACCTGTTTGGGAGACTTATACACACACACCCGCCACACCCAAAAAAAAAACTTTATGAAATTTCGAGTCTACTTAAGGCAGTTTACGTGCTTCAGTGTTCATTCAGGTATGAAATTAGTCGCAATAAACTAGACTCCAATACTATAAAAACGTAGGCCAATTATGTGTACTTACCAAGGGAAAGAAGATTGTAGAAAAATAAGTTGAGCATTTTTTTCTCCACTCCACCTCCTTCAGGTCAACATTCCTGAAGTTGCTCAACAGATGTTTCGTAGGTGGAGTGAAGCTGTGGCGGGTGGTTACTTCTTCTCCACCCAATACACCCTTTTCCGGTGGTAGTTGGTGTAGCACGGAATAACACAGAGGCCAACATCGCAGGTCTTGCATCCTATGCCGGTCTCCTTCCTCATACCTGACTTTGCGCACACGTGACACCTCCGACGTTTGGACAGTTTGACAATTTAGACGATGTTCTGAATCAACAATACGTCCCTGTTTTTTCTGTGTAGGTGGAAGACTTGAGTCTGAGTCATCTGTCTCAATCGTCTCGTCAAATGGCTGTGTACCAGAAATCTCGTGTTCTGATTCAGTGGAGGCTTCAGCTAGAGGTGTTGACGTAAACAAAGGGCGCCTCACACCAGACGGTCCGGGCGTTGACATGGCGGCAGTATAGGCAGGACCTGTGTCATCATTGAGGTCTGGAGCATGCACCAAGTGTGTAGATGTTGTTGCTGTTGTAGGCCACTCTTCCGTGTCCCACTTCAATAGGGACCAAATAGCCACCTCGTGAAACTGGAGCAATGTTAGCTTCTTGCGATCACTTGTGTTCTTTTTGTACAAAGCAAAGGCATTCTGCAATGCCATTTGCAAAAAATAAAGCGTTATTTTCTTAGTCCACTTGTGACTTTTCCTGGTGAAATGGTAATACTTGACCATTTGATCGAAGTGCTCCACACCTTTCATGAACTTATTGTAGTCGCAAATTGCAGTGGGTTTGTTCACTGTTACCTGTTCTAGTGCAGTTGTTCCATCGCGTTTGCGAACTCGTTTCCTTCGTTGAACAACCTGAGTGTCTGCATTGTGGACGTTGGTAATCATTGAGACCACTCGCTTGTCTTTCCACAGTAGATCGAAGGTGTTATCTTTGCGGCAGTATACTGTGGCATCCACTGGAAGTTTACCCTTCCAAGTTTAACTGTAACAGTTTTAACTGAACTGCAAGTTTATATCTTGCAGTTCATTTGGGGCACCACGTATTAGTCTAATTGTGCCACATGTGTAGACCCCAAGTTCTCTCAACTTCTCTGTTAGGATAACTGAGTTGTAGTAATTATCCATGTACAGATGATGACCCTTGTTCACTATAGGCCGAATCAACCCCGTGACTGTTTCGATGATCGTTTTACCAATACCAGAATACATGTCAAAGTCACATATGTAGCCAGATGTTGATTCAGCTAGCATATATAATTTCACACCATATTTGTCTGGTTTGTTTGGATTGTACACCTTGAACGAGAGTCGGCCACGCCATGCCAATGTACCTTCATCTAAACACAACTCTTTCTTTGGCCAGTAAACTTCTCCAAACCTTTGTTTCAAGTAATCCATCACTGGTCTCACTTTTATCAACTTGCCAGTATTGTTCAACGGAACCGTATTGTTATTGAAAGTATGGAAGAACTGACCTATATGCTGAAAACGTTTCGTCGTCTTAAACATGTTGAAAACCCGAGCACGGCATGGTTTTGATGTTTGCCAATACATGCTCATATTTGGGAGCCTGTTTAACAGTCCCAAATATCTGGCCATTTCTTTGACCTTGACTGGTTTCCAAATATCTTCGACATTTTCAGAGGCCATCCGGAATATCTGTGAGGCGTACAAATTCTTTTCCTTTGTCAAGAACTCAAACAATGAACAGGTAAAAAACAATTGAATATATCCTAGTGCACTCGTTGGTTTGGTAATCGTCAGGCCCGGGGTTCCGGTAAAATCATCTAACAATGGGGGATTGTTGCTACGAGTCCAGCTGCTACGTCGTTCCCTAAATAGGCGCAGAAAACGAATCGCGGAACAACTTGAGAGTCGCACCCTATCTCAAGAACGGCAAAGAAGGTTAGGTGGAGAAACAGAAACAATTGAACTCAAGCTACAAGAATCATACAAAACCCAGGAGAGGCAAAGAGAGCAAAAGGCCCTCAGTGAAATAGAGAGAAATCCGAAATATTTTTTCTCCTATGCAAAATCAAGATAAAAAACCACATCTAGTATCGGGCCCCTGCGAAAAGGAGATGGAACTTTCACCGATGACAACAAAGAAATGAGCGAGCTACTGAGGAAGCAGTACGACTCTGTTTTCAGCGAGCCATTAAACGCACTAAAGATTGATAACCCAAATGAATTTATCATGGATATGATACCAACATCAAATCATATATCAGACGTCACCCTATCCCTACTGGATTTTGAAGAAGCCATAAACAGTATGCCTATGCACTCTGCACCAGGCCCGGATTCTTGGAACTCCATATTCATCAAGAACTGTAAAAAACCACTATCGCAGGCCCTCCACATTCTGTGGAGACAAAGCCCAGATACTGGCGTTATTCCTGATATACTAAAAACAGCAGAGATAGCACCACTTCATAAAGGAGAAAATAAGGCAGAGGCAAAAAATTACAAACCGATAGCACTAACATTGTACATCATTAAAAAATTTTGAGAGTGCTAAGAAGTAAGATCACAAAATACATGGAATCACAGCATCTCCATAACCCCGGACAACATGGTTTCAGAACAGGGCGCTCTTGCCTGTCGCAGTTGCTGGACCACTATGATATGGCATTAGATGCTATGGAAGACAAACAAAACGCTGATGTAATTTACACAGATTTCGCAAAAGCTTTTGATAAATGTGACCATGGTGTTATTACACATAAAATGCGTTCAAAAGGAATTACCGAAAAAGTAGGCAGATGGATCTACAATTTCCTGACAAACAGAACCCAATGTGTAATACTCAACAAAATAAAATCCAGCCCATCAACCATGAAGAGCTCAGTCCCCCAGGGTACTGTGCTTGCTCCAGTACTTTTTCTCATCCTCATATCGGACATAGACAAGAACACAACCTATAGTACTGTATCATCCTTTGCAGATGACACTAGGATCTTCATGAGAGTAGGCAACATAGAGGACACGGCAAGCCTCCAGTCAGATGTAGATCAGGTCTTTCTATGGGCTACAGAAAATAATATGGTGTTTAACGAAGATAAGTTCCAGCTCATGCGCTAGGGAAAAAAAATTAAAATATAAAAATGGAAACCACGTACAAAACTCAGGCAAATCATAACATAGAACGAAAAGGCAATGTAAGGGATCTGGGCGTACTCATGTCGGAAGACCTTACCTTTAAAGAACACAATAAAGTAGCCGTCACAACTGCAAGAAAAATGACAGGTTGGATAACAAGAACTTTTCATACTAGAGATGCTATACCGATGATTATACTTTTCAAAACACTTGTGCTCTCTAGAGTGGAGTACTGCTGCACAATGACAGCCCCTTTCAAAGCTGGAGAAATTGCTGACCTGGAGAGCGTGCAGATATCCTTTACTGCTAGAATCCACTCAGTAAAACATCTAAATTACTGGGACCTACTAAAGAGCCTAAATCTGTACTCCCTTGAGCGCAGGCGGGAGAGATACATAATAATTTACACGTGGAAAATATTAGAGGGGCTGGTCCCAAACCTGCACACAGAAATAACATCACATGAGACCAGAAGACATGGCAGGATGTGCAGAATACCCCCGTCGAAAAGCAGAGGTGCAACAGGTACTTTGAGAGAGAACTCTATCAACATCAGAGGCCCGAGACTGTTCAACACGCTTCCGCTACACATAAGGGGCATAACTGGCAATCCCCTCACAGTGTTCAAGAGAGAACTGGATAAGCACCTCTAAAGGATACCTGATCAACCAGGCTGTGACTCATACGTCAGGCTGCGAGCAGCCGCGTCCAACAGCCTTGTGTATCAGTCTAGCAACCAGGAGGCCTGGTCGACGACCGGGCCGCGGGGACGCTAAGCCCCGGAAGCACCTCAAGGTAAGGCAAAGTAACCACTAGCCCTAGGCAGGCGAGTACGTACTGGATGTGTACTCTTTCGAGGAGGCTTGGCTGATTCATCTTCCTCACTTTCCTCCTCACTTGAAAATTCAATGCTAGAATCACTGCCACTTTCCACAATGGGTGGTGTTTTCCTACGACGAGAAACATTTTGTGTACTTAGCTTTTGTTTGGGCTTACATACAGCACATGTGTGCCTTGTGGTGAGAGGCGGCGGTGCCAGTGCCCCCTCCTCCTCCTCCTCTGTAATCCCCTCAGTATCTTCCTCAGTCGTTGTTGCCCCATGCGCTTCAGGTCCCCGAAGGTCACAATCATCATCCAAATCGTCAACATCAGGTTCAATGCACTCAATATCATCATCATCATAATCAACGTCGGAAAAGGCTTCCACGAGGCCGGGAATCTTTGTTGGTGTTAGTTTCACTCGACTGTACCTTCTGTAGATCTGACTTATTTTGTCCTCGGTTGATGAACTGGATGCTCCCATGGGCGTAACACTGCTTGGGCCTTGAGCAGGATCCATTGTAAATGAATGTATTGGGTCAAATACACACGGAAACGGGTAAAACTGCTAAAAACCGAGCGAGTTTGGCGCGCGAGGGGCGACCGATCTGGCCAGTCCACGTGACAACAAAACAATGAGGCAATCACGTGACCCAGTAGGCCGTGGTGCCATGCGGCCTAGTCGGGAGAACGGGAATTTCATGGTGTGCATTTTGAAACCAACCCCCAAGTAAATCGGATTTAAATTGGATTTTATATAGTTATTGTTTAATAGGACGTTAATTTTCGACTCTTGGGCGGAACCAAGAAAAATAGATAGATCGTAAATTTACGACCCCGGGGCGCGAAAGATTCTTGCAACAGTAGAGATCACCTTAATATCCTCTGATTGGAATTCTCGAAGCTAGCAATAAATGTTACATAGTTGTGGTCAGTAAACATTCAG